CATGCAGTTGCGAGTACTTGTACAACTTTAGTGTCCCTCTTTCTTATGCACGTTTGCAAATTTACGCATGCATGAACGCTACCGTTTCTTTAATATTCTTTGTTGTTTTCGACCGAAGGACCCTTGCATGCGATTTGGAAGCACAGCCGCGAGAGCTTCTCCCCAGTTTCTGTTTTTCAGGAAAAGCATCAAAGCTTCCAGCACAGAGTTTACGTTCAACACCACCCGCTGTTTCCCAGGCAGAAACGTCTGAGTTAACGCATAGGCAAAAATGCGACTAAAAATACATGCGAAGCCATTCCAAGCGAAAAACCAAAACTTGAGAGATGCATTTACACCGTCTAAGCAACGGAAACGGCTTAAGGACGGGAGCTTCAGTGTTCACAGACCTTGAACGGTAGCTTCCGGCACGTCAGACCGAGCTCTTCTGCCTGTGAAAAGCTCAAGCCCTGAAACAAACATCGGCACAGCTTTGCTCCTTTTGCGCTGCTGGAACTGCTTGTGCGTCTTAATGACGCTACTGTTGGTGCTATTGCTTCTGGTGTTGCTGCTGTGGTAAAGAAAAAGATATTCTCTCACTTTGCTGATAGTTCTGTCTACTAAACCCCCAATAACGAAAACCTTTGAGGGGTCGACATCCAACAACTCCTGCAAAATGCCACAAGTTTTGGACCGTAAGCCGCTAGCTTTTGAAACAATGGGAGTTGCATCTAAATCAAGCCCAACACAATTCCTCATGAGCCCTATTGCTCAATAACACCAAACTCTAAACCTAATACTTGAAGGTGTTCCATCTGTTTTGTAGTAAGCTGACCTCGGAAGCATCCGGCGAAAGGACAACTATTTCATCAGGGGAAAAACACTGCCAGTAGGGTTCCTCGTGTCTGTGCACCTGAACAACAAGCAGTAAACGTAAGCCCCAAACTTGCACCCAAATCCAAGCGCAGAGCAACCTTCTCGACAGTAACAAACATCTAATCACAGTGTGCTCCGCCCCGCACGAAAGGCATCATCTGGCAAGCACGCATCCGCATCACTATCCTCTCAGCAGCAATAATAGTAGCAATACCAGCAACGGTGAAAAGATCCAGTGCACTTACCAGCCAGGAGCTCCCAGCGAAGAGGTTCTCGCATGCAACACGGCATGGACTGCCTTCAACGAAGGAAGAAAAATGAAGTTGAATCTGTGCAGCAGCAGAAACAGCATCATAAAGGCGGCAGCAGCATGGGAGTAGCTCAAATACATTTTTTGTGCAGGTAAGCATGATAAAAATACAGAAAAACCTACTGACAACCGCACCTTTGTGTCCTTCGCCCTCTTCACGTGGTGATAGCTCAGAAACAGCTGCTTGGCGAGGCTCCGGATTTCCTAAAAATATCGGCAGCAAAAGCAGAAGCAAAGACAATATGCATTTCTTGCATCTGGTGTCTCCTTCCTAGTCCTCCTTCACTGTTCATGGCTCTGCACCAACAGCAGCAGTGGCCAGGCGATAGCTCCGCCAGCGATAACCCCACCACCAGCTCACTTTGTCTTGCATTGTTGAATCAAACGAACAATTGAAGCAAATCCGAACTCCATTCTTCATGCACTCCTCTAGATGCACCTGGACATTCCATGACGTAGCAACAGCTGCAGTACCAAGATATTCTCCAGTAGCGTCAGAAAGGCACGCCTACCAAAACAAAGGTGCTGTTTCCCTACCCTATCCTTGGATCCACGCGTTCAGTCATAGTCTCACACTGGTCTAAAATATCACTACCCAAATGCGCGCGGCTGTCTACAGTTCCCCGTTGAGGCCTCAACTACCCACCTGGAATGCTTCTTTCTCCTTTTGCAGCCGTTCCTTATGGGCCTTCATAGCGGCCGATTTATCCTCTGCGGAAAATAAAACAGTACCCACCAACACTGAACTATTTCGTGTAGATTCTATTCACTTGTCTCTACAGTTGGCGGTGCCTCCAACCAGTTAAGGGTCTCCAAATCTATTTACTGCCTTCGTTCCTGCTGACACTACTGCTGTAGTCGCAGTCTCTTTCAGTCGCAGTCTCTTTGATTTACTCTCGCACTTTTTGTGATCATGGAGGTAACAATCTCACCACTAGAAACAAGCCCTTCAAATACTTGCTCGTTTCTTTTCTTCCGTCGTTTTCTTCTCTCCTCCGGCCGTTGTTGTCTCTTCTTTTGACGATAATTTTCGCGCGTGAGCAGCTTCTTCTGAGATCGAGGAAGTCGCCGCTGCTCATGCTCTTCACGCTGCTCCTGGTACCCCTCCCCCCGTTCCTGTTGCTCCTCCTGCTTCTCCCGCTGCTGATGCTCCTGCTCAGGCGCCTGTTGCTGCAGCTGCTCCTGTGGTTGGCGCGCCTGCTGTGCATTCAGCCCCCCTTCTGCTGCTGCTGCAGCCCCTGTCGCGGCTGCAGCAACATCAGTCAGTGCTAGGTCGTCTTTCTTGGATCTAGGCAGGCCCCGTTCCATGCCTCCAGTGCTGCTGCAGCTGCTGCAGCTGCTGCCGGGTCCTGCTGCTGTTGAAGCTGAAGCTGCTGCCTTAGCTGCATCTGCTGCTGCAGCTGCTCCTGCATTTGCTGCTGCGCAGGGGATGCTGCGTACCACAGATGCTGCTGCTGCTGCTGCTGTTGTAGGAGCGGATGATAGCAAGTAGTCTGCATCATGGGGTCCATGTAAGCACCACTTGCTGCTGTCGGCCAGATGCTGCTGCCGTGCAGCAGCAACAGCTGTTGCTGCTGCTGTTGCTGCTGCTGTGCAGCAGCAACCTCCCACATGGAGCTCTGCAGCTGCATTGCCGCTGCTGCTTGCTGCGGGATATGTGCACCTGTGGCTGCCGCAGCTGCTGCCACAGCTGCAACCGCTGCTGCAGTGGGTTCCTGCTGCTGCTGCAGGAGCAACTGCTGCTGCTGTTGCTCCGGTGTGGGCGGAGGCCACGACATCAAGGGCTGCTTCGCAGGCGGCGTCTGCGGGGGCTTCGCAACAACCGGCACTGCCGGTACTGCCGGCACTGCCGGTACTGCCGGCACTGCCGGCACCGTCTGCACCGCCGGCACTGCCGGCACTGCCGGCACCGCCGGCACTGCCGGCACTGCCGGCACCGCCGGCACTGTCGGCATAGCGGGCACTGGCGGCACAGTGGGCACTGGCGGCACTGCGGGTACTGCCGGCACTGCTGGCACTGCCGGCACCGGCGGCACTGCCGGGACGGGCGGGACTGCGGGGACTGCCGGTTCTGGCGGGGGAGGCGGCGGCGGCGGGGGCGCAGGCACGCACGGCCTCATTGGCGTGGGCAGCAGCGGCGGCAAAGACCCCAGCAGCCCCTGCTGCTGCGGAATTGCCCTGGGCAGCAGGGGCGGAGGGGGCGGTGTCGTTGGGGGAGCTGGGGGAGGCTTCGGCAGCCCCATGAGGTGCTTCGGCGCAGGGCCCATGAGAGACGGCTTTTTGCTCGCTGCTTGTGCTGCTGCAGCACGGGGCAGCAGCCGACCTCGGCCAGGACTCAGTGGAACCCCTTCCGTCGCAGCCGCAGCAGTCGTGGCCGAGAGCACTGGCTGGGCCTTCAGCGTCTCCAGCAGCGGCGGCAAAGGCACCTCGCCCTTGCTCGTGCTGCCGCACACCGGCTGCTGCTGCTGTAGGTGCTGCTGCTGATTCAGGGCGCCATAATGCAGCAGAGGGTTGGGGGGCAGCGGCAGCAGAGGTGGCAGATCTGAAGGGTTCTGTGGAGGCGCCCGGGGGGCCGTACTCTTCGCTTGCTGCTGTTGTTTCTGTTGTTGTTGTTGCTGTTGCTGCTGCTGCTGCTGCTGCTGCTGAGCATTGGCTCTGGCGCAGGACGGAGACGACTGGGACGTCGCTAACTTCTTGTGGGGTGGAGCCCCCTCCTCTGTTTGGGGACAATTCGGTGTGTCTGCTGTTGCCGGTGAGTCCACAAGTGCTGCTGCCGCAGCCGCTGCTGCTGTTGCTGCTGCCCGTTGGTCCCCCTCTCTCTCCTCCTCCGCTTCCCTTTCCTCCTGATGTGGCGGTTGCCATCCGGGTCCCCCTTCGTGTGTTGCTGCCTCACAGGGGGCTCCCCTGACAGGAAAGAGCTGGTCGAGGCTTTGGGTGTCGCTGAGCAGTTCGGAGGTGAGAGAGAGCGGCAGCATTTCCTTGCTTATTCAGTTCATGCCTGAAGTGGCCAGTGGTCCAGAAGGGACAGCAGGGGTGCTGCAGTTCTCAAGTGTACCACGAAGAGACGAGAGTAAGACAAGCTAGAATGCGTGAGACGGAGCGGCCATGCGGACTGCCTTGCTAAGCCCCAGATTCGGCCTCTTGCAGCAGAGCAAAACTACCAACGAAGAAGGCAATCAAAAGCAAATAATAGAGCCCCTGAGTTGGGTGAAACACTGCAATAGCTGCTGTTGAGGGCCAGTACTACGCTAGCCCTGTTAAGGGTGGCTCGCCGCTCTTTCGGGAAAAGGAAAAAGGAAGCTTGAAAACAGAAAAAAAGAAAAAAAGTGAAAAGAGAAACACGAGACAGACACTCCGATACGCTGGTCGCATGCAAACACGAACGCCCAGATTACTAGTAACTGAGCAAAAGACGGTTGTCAACGGACTGGAGAGCAACGTGGGGTGCAAACGTCGATCCCCTGAGCCGATGCAAAGTAATGAAAAAAGCAGCGGGATCCTTTTTTCACATTCTTTTATATAGTTGGAAAGCGACTCAACCGAGCTTTTCCGTTCTGACTATCGGCTTGGGGCTGCCCGCCCAGCTGAAACCCCACCCCGCATTGCATGCGGTCCGTAATCTAACTTGCGATTAATGTTAGCTAAACATGTCTAGCTTCACTCATTTGTTGTTCTAGCTGGCCATATAGCAGAAGGGCAAAAGACGAAGTCCGCATTGCAGTAGCACCCGGGCAAACTTGGGCGCCTTAGCGGCCCCAGAAGGACCGGTCACGGTTGGCGAGCATAGACGGGAGATTGCCGATTGTTTGGTTGCTTCTTTAGTAACGAATTGACAATGATTAAGGTGAAGAAGAGGAAGAACGGGATCGCTGCAGCGGCGAAGCCACTTCCTGTTGATACACCTGAGGGAAAACACAAGGCAAAGCGAATTTCTAGTGCACCCGAGTCACTTCCATCTCCTTCCCAACCTCGGAAGAAGGCTAAGAGCACACATACCACTGCCGAAAAAGCCAAGGCCCCCCCACAAGCACCGGCAGCCTCCGCGCCCAACGTAATCAAAATAGGGAGTGGCGGCGTTGTGGACTGCCAGGCTTTGGAAAAGGCGGTGAAAGCACTATGCCGGCATGTGCAAAAGCTTCAGGAGAAAGAAGAAGTGCAAGATCTACTTGCCATGAACAGCGGTCCCACAGTTAGTTTGATGTTCTCTACGCAGAATATACCTGTCACGCAACGGATCTATCCCCATCTGATGTGAGTTTCGATTTCCGAAGTCTTCTTTTGACATCAAATCATAGCAGCCTGAATTGGAAAAGGTTTTGCAGCTTCACTTGGGACTCTTTTGATGATGATGATTCCTAATGCATTTAGCACTATTCTAACAAACAGGTATTCATTCACGTGAGCATGTACTGCTTGCATTATGCGATTTCTTTTTGTGTGTCTGCTATCGTGTGTTTAGTGAGTTGCCCCACAGCCCTTTGGGTTCAAACAGTGAAGTATGCCTGATAGTACGCGACCCCCAGCGCAAGTGGAAGGACCTCGTCGCCTCTCTCCCATCCTTGTCCTCGGTTTCAAAAGTTATTTCTTACAAAAAACTGCCGAAGAAGTTTCCACAGTTCGCAGACCGCAGGGCTCTCTGCGCTGCGTACGACCTGTTCATTGTCGACACCAGAATCAAGGAGAAAGCGTACAGCAGTCTTGGCAAGGTGTTCTTCGCAGCCAACAAGTAAATAAATGCACAGTTTGAGTCAAGTGATGCGTGCGCCTGCTTCTGTTGTTGGGAACTACAGCTATCTGCTGTGCTTGAGGTTGTGTATGTTAGTTTACTTGCAGCAGCAGCGGTCATAAAGTTGGCGTAATGTGCATGTTTAGTTTTGGCGTTGCACTTCTGTTGCGCAGCTATAGCAGTAGAACATATCCGGCTCTAGTTACCTGTCAAGCAATTGGCGGTATGGGGAGTGAGACAAGTGGGTTGTTCTAGAAAACAGCTGGTTTTACAGTTTTCTTTTCGTGTCCTGTGTGAACAGACTACCGCTTCCCATTCGCGTTGGGTCGACCACACTGGAAAGAGAAGTGGGGAGAGCGCTGCGCAGCACAGCGCTGGTGATTAAACGAGGCCCTTCCGTTGCTATTCGCATTGGCAGGGCCTTGAGTAACCCTGACCATCTTTACGAAAATGCAGTGGCAGCCATCAAGGGGGTGTCAGATTTCTTCCAAATGAATCATAAGTGGAAAAATACGATCACAACTATTCATATTCAAGCCACCAATACACCTGCCCTGCCAATTTACCTGCATCCCAAGTACGCGGAGGCCGCAGAGTACTACAGGACTACAGCGCCGCCTGCCAACAATGCAGAGCCGAAGAGAGGCGAAGGTGAAAAAACAAAAACGGGAAAGGAAAAGGCGTCGGCAGTAGTCCACAAAGTTAAAGGTGATCGCAAGATAAAGAGTGGCGCTGCAGTAAAAGAGGGGAAAGACAATGCAAGCAAAGTAGTCAAGAAGTCAATCACCAAGGACAAAAAAGAAAAGAAACACAAATCGAGGCACTGAATGCCTGCTGCCTACTTGGCCAGCCTTTGTCTAACATGATCATGAACTGCTCTTGGCTCCCTTAGCCTTGTCGGCTTCTTTAAAGTATATTTTGCTGCTTGGCTGATAACACGGAGAGAACAGGTCTTAGTTCTGGAGGGGAACCAACGATTATGTAGTGGAAGTTTCTGTCGGAACGCACTTTATTCTTGCGTAAGAGTCTTCAGATTGAATTTCGCCTGACTCGCTGGTGTAGAAGGGAAGTGCTTCTGGTTGCAGTGAGTGGAGTGTAGCATGAGGTGGCGAGAACGGAGAGTGAAGGAGGCGGGAGTAGTGTCGGCAAGGAGCATTTAGTTTGGTGGGGGGGTGGCTTTGGCTAAACGAACCAAATTATTCATTTTATCCAATACTAATGAAGCGACTGGAGCTGGCAACAGTGGGGGGACAATCCGAATAAGTCCAGTATAATAGTGTCTGCGTTGATGTAGGACTAGCCGCCGTTTATCGTTGAAATTAATTCTTAAGTCTGAAATGTGGCAATATATTTAGCGAAGTTGGGTTCACTGGCGTGGCTGCGCAAGCCTGCTACGTTTTCACGGGCACCACCCGGTGACCACTGGTCCCGTCGGCTGGCTTAGGCCAGGTGAGCGGGCATTTCACTTTCACTCTTAAACCCGGCGAAAACTCTTGTTGTTTAGTTTTTACAATATACTTTTTTAAATCGCACTTAATTTGGAGAAATAGGCATCAATACCGGAAGCTTCCCTGGCGACGTGTTGGCACCGTCTGCTTCTCAAGACACGCAGTTCAACGCAGCCGTCAACTTTGGGCTTAAGGTCTTTATTCCAATTTCCTGCCCAACATATAAAAGAGAATGGGACCTGCAGTAAAGTCACAAGAAGCCTCTGGCGTTCAGGCTGCCGTAGGACCGCACAAGTGTGAGACATGTCTAAGAAACCCGTTAGTTTTATGGGCTTCCGCTGCACTCCCTCTTTGAAACCCCTTCAAGAAAGCGCTTGAATAAATGCAAAAGGACCAGAATTTCATACAATTAGAATGCGCACAGGGAATGCGTTGACGCGAAGGCGTTAGTGGCGTTTTTCTTGGTGTTATTGATGAAGCAGCGCAGCGTCCGTAAAGTGACCAAGAGCTGGCCATGGAAGCATTTGCTGATGTGGTGGTTACAGCATTGGACTGTGTATCTAGACGACGTGTCGAAAAATTCATGTGCGCTTGCGCCTTGCCGGTTCAGTGTTGGATGGCATATCATTTCTGGAGATCAATAAGGACTTGTCTGCCCGCGAGGAACAGCTGCGACAACATATACGAAACGTCTGTGAGAAGCAGATCCGTCCCATTGCTGCTAAGCTGTGGCATTCATCTACATTCGAGAAGCGCTTCATTCAAGCGTGTAAAGACATGGGACCTGCAGGGCTACAAATTAAGGGGTTTGGTGAGCCATACCCAGCCTTCCCACTGGCTGGTGTCTGAAGATCCCCCGCTGGCCTTCCGGATTCTTTGTTTGTTTTAATTTTTTCTTGCTGGATTTCCACCTAATTGTTCTGTCATGCGTAGCTTTAGTTTTAACACCCAGCGTGCACCTTTAGTATTGCATGTTGGGCGTTCCTCGTTTTCCACTGTTGCTGCGTAGGCTGCGCAGGTTTGACAAACACGGAGGCTACTTTGGCAGTGATGGAGATGGCGAGAGTGGATGCATCTTTGGCTACGTTTGCTGTTGTGCATTCGGGGCTAGCTATGCGCTCTATTGCTGTAGCAGGGACCCGAAAGCAGCAACAGCATTGGCTCCCCCAGGCAGGCTCCCACCCTCCCCGCTGCTGTGCTTCATCTCTTTATTCACATGCATTGTCTGCATCACGTTTGGTTCCTGCAGTCCCCATACACGGAACACGAATATAAAAAATCAGTTGTATGGATAGTTGCCCCGAGTTGAGCTGCACCTGTGGCACAGATGGCCCGCTGGGAAAAGATCGGCTGTTTTGCCTTGACTGAACCTGGACACGGAAGCGACGCTGGGGGCTTGGAAACCACAGCAAAACGGACTGAAGGTGGCTACATTTTAAATGGAAGGAAACGGTGGATTGGCAATGCAACTATTTGTGATGTGGCGGTTGTGTGGGCGAGAGATCTAGACACGGGAAAGATCGAAGGCTTTCTCGTGGTATGTGTCGTTTGCGAAACTTGCTGAACATGATCCTGTATTCAGAGTTTCACTTGGAAGGCAGTGATAATTTCACGTTTGGGCAACTTGTGCATTAGTGTAGCAGCCTGCACGTGGATGCATCCTGAAACGCTCTCCTTCTAAATAACTACTGACCCGGTTTCTGTCATTTTGTTCTTTTGATCTTAAGGAAAAGAGCTTTAGCGGCTTCAAAACTGCTGCAATAAAAGAGAAAGCATGCCTCCGGAGTGTAGAGAACGCCGACATCTGGCTGAGTGATTGCTTTGTTCCTGATTCACATAAAATGAAGCCTGGCGGATTTACGGGCAACACCAAACTTGTACTTGAGTCCTCACGGGCCCTGGTTGCAGCTGCTTGCTCGGGACTACTGATGGGTAAGTCCATTTTGACTGAATGTCGGCCGTAGCGGGCACTACTTGCTTCCCCTCTAAGCTCATTTCAATTATGCCACGAGGGGCAATGGGCAGCAACAGAAGAACAGTGACAGCACTGGTTCAACAGTGGTGCTGTAAGGCTGGCCGGCGATTACTGTTGAATGCACGCAGGAGCATACGATGCAGCTCTGCAGTATTGTAGTTCAAGACAGCAGTTCGGAAGGCCTTTGACGGGCTTCCAACTCGTGCAGGAAAGGCTTATGAGAGCCATAGGGCTCGCTCACGTGAGCGGCGCAGCAAGCACGTTTTCACAAGCAAAGCATCTAGCTCTATTTCACTAAATTGTAAATACAACTATTGAAAGTGCAACCAGTGCAACTTGTTGCTCTCAAGACAATTCCGCCACGCCCAATGCAACGATGTCCACACTCTGTGCGGCATCATTGCTTATTACAGTCACCATTCATTATGTTTACGTAGTGCACAGGCAGTGCACATGGTAGGATATCCACAAGCTCAATTATGCATTTGATTAATGTGCATGCCTCCCAATTTTCATGTTTCTGCAATTTCTTATTTTGACAATATGAATCGCTTCAGAACTGTTCCTACTTTTACCAACGTGTTAAGAAGTGATGTACAGCATGGCTGCTGAGATTTGCATGATATTCATGCAGGGTTGCGTCGCGTTGTCTATTAATATGGCGAGACGGATGGACGAGGGTCGGAACTCGATGGCTCTTGTGGCTCTTGTGAAGGCCACAACATCTCGACTAGCAAGAGAGGGAACACAGCTCTGTCGAGAGGTGATGGGTGGAAATGGTATACTGCTCGAGAACGGCGCAGCCAAGGCCTTAGCAGATATAGAGGTATGTAAATGCTAGCGGCCAGGACCGTTGAGTGTTTGACCAAAGGCCCGATTGTTTGGTGCGTGCACACACAAACACACTAAGGCCAGAGTCGAGCCATAGACGTAGCCGTTTCTGAACTTTTTACTTGCCGGGGTCCGCTTGCAGCCTCACTCGCTGCAATGCCCTGCCATGACAGAGGTACTGGGTGACTTATTAGCCTGTGGCACTGTTCTGCCTGCCTCTGCTCACTCTACGTTTGTTCATAGGCTATGTACACTTACGAAGGAACGTACGATATAAATATGCTCATAGCTGGACGTGCAGCTACCGGCATAAGCGCATTTACTTGATTATCATTCGTAGGTACGACAGTACCCAATGACTCACACCGGCAGTTCTGTCTTCTGTACACTGGGTACAGTGGGCCGTCCAGGAAGGAGGACCCATTGCTTGAAAACTTTTATTTATCATATTTCGAGCGCTACCTTGGCGTACAAGTCCTGCTCTTTAAGCTATATCTGACAAGACATATAGTGCTGAACGATTTTCCTCGATGTCAGCATGAAGTGCAACAGCAGGATAGAAATCATAGGCTCTGTACTGTTTAGTGCTCCTGTGAAAGCAGTCATATTTTTTGCGTTCTGTCCCACACGATGTATTTGGGGGAGTTTTTTGAGTATTTCAGTATTTAGTCATTCAACAGAGTACACTGGTGAAGAAAGTATCCACTAGCATCTCAATTTGCAGAGGCTGGATTGAGGCCCTCGCATGAAGGCAAGAGGACAGCAGAGTCGAAGGATAAATGCATCATCAGCAGCCACTACTACAATACTGTGGAGCTTTCGCACCATTGATTCCTTATTGAGCTACTCAAAGTCGCACGCGACTGCAAGAAGGAGGCGCAGGTGGCCCCATGAGAGGAGGCTTCTGGCCTGCTACCATGCTTCCCTTGAGAAGCTCTGGGAGGCCGTGATACTTCATTACTTCATTTCTATCAATACAACGCATCTTGCTTTCAGCTGCAGAACTTTGGGTTATAACTGCAGTCCCGTTGCTATGCCCAGCGAGCACCGACTTCTAGGTGTAACCGTAGGTTGGGTGCACGCTAGTGAGACATGAATTTACAATTTTTCAAGTCTACATAAGTTTGTATATGCAGCCTTTTCCGCTTTTACGACTTCGTGGATATGGCTAGTAATTCTTGGTGTGTTGCAAACGTTATAGATAGAGCCAGGTGACGCCTGAGAAACACTAGGCAGGGCCATTCCTGTCCATTGCTCAACCTTGAAGGACTTGCGGTTTTAACACTCTGTGCCAATAATAATACTCAGACCGCCGTGAAGGGCTTCCGTATTCTTACCTGAATGCGCTCAGTGGAAGGGACCCTTCCTGCTTTCACCACACGGCGGCAAGAGCTGGCCTCAAATATAGGCCCTTCTGTCATTACCGCCCTCATTTTCATATCAGCTTAAATTAAGAAAGCAAAAAACCGCCTTAGTTGTGGCATTCATAAGTGGCGGTCGTCATGACACGACGAGGATGCTGGCATGCGCAGGTCTATGCCGCGCTACTGGCATGTAGTATGCAATTCTGATAATAACCGCTGATTGTCACGCTTTGTTTCAGCATATATTTCATTTAACATGATCATATCCTATTAAAAGGCAGATTATTTGTGGAACCCTTATAGAACTGTTTATATGGCATCACTAAAGTTTGAGAGATTGGAGCCCATCGACAAATTGGCGGCCCAGCGGTGGGACACACGACAATGGACCATCAGTGGAGTTTATACACTATGATGAGCCATCTGTTGTGCATGCATAATTGTTTTCTTCTTTATATCATTTTTTCTGTCATCTCAAACTTTTGGGTCTCACCCTTAGTTCTATTTCGTCAACAGGATGCCAGGGCCTGAGGTGTTCCTGAACATCTACAAAATACACGGCTCACCCGATTGGTGCTCCCCTTGTGGTCTCTACCACACGAGTAAGGACCTGCTTAAATTCAAGGGTCTTATTTGTATCCTGGCTGTTGCATTTTCTACGGGATTTCCCAGCTTGCCGCCCTTAACTCTCCGCGACCCTGAATCTTGGTGCCTCATCGAATTAGAGCTCATTCCGCTACAGCTGGCCTAGCGTGAAGCTCTGATTTTATTAGGGAGGAAGGGCTCTTTGTTGTGGCAAAGAAGCTTTATGGAGGCCCCTCGTGCAATTCCCCCATTTGTTGTTGGTGTTTCTCACCTGCACTGGTCATACGATAATACAACCGGCACAAGTGATGTGTAGGTGCCGAACTCGTCCACATCATGCTGCAGTACAGAAGTAGCGCAATGCAGAAATTTTGCTAGTCTATCTCATTTGTCTTTGGGTTGTGTTCTATCAGGCGTGCAAATTGGGGAGCTAGAGTACAGTTTCGGGGAGGATTCCGGAGTGATGTGCTCTGAACACAATCCTCGTATTGACGGCATCCACAGCTTTCTGGATGGGACGTACGAATACAGCTTACATATGGGCGCCTGCAATTTGTCGGTTCCTGAGCTCCACAAAGTCATCTCAAGCCTGCAGAAATCCTTTCCTGGCAGCTCTTACGACCTCATACGAAACAACTGCAACCACTTTAGCGACGCCCTTCTCAAGTCCATTGTCGGCAAAGGAATTCCTCCTCATATTAATCGCGCGAGCAGATACGGCCAGTGGCTAGGGTAAGGCTCAGCAGAGGTTCTCAGCTTTGCTGTGCGTTTTCTTCTGTATCTAAGGAATTATTCTCACAGGAGAGTCCTCACGCATGAGCAAGGTTCACGCAGCAGTTTAGCTGGTGATGTTCTAATTTTTATTTTACACAGTAGTAGCGGAACGACCCCTCTGAAGGCTCGGATAATGTTGTGCTCTCTAGTTCAATTGCTCACTGCAGGCTTTTCAAGCGTACATTTTCCGAAAAGTGTTTATTTTTTGACTATTGAAAAGTAAAACGCGCCCTCTAGTAATGGTTGGCTGCTCGCATCCACGTCTTGCTTGAATATTACTGTTGGGACTGGCTTGTAACTGTAGTGGACCCGGATAATTGTGTTTTGCCGCTTCTTAGCTACCTCTTCTTTCCTGTATATTCGCCTTGTCGTATGTTAGTTGCATACATACTGCGCATTGATATGCACAGGCTCAGCTTGTCGGGCTCGCAGTTCCTTGCACTCAGACACGCTGACTCGCCTGTTCTTTAATCATGATGCTCTGCCCTTTTTTTCAGTTGCCTCCTGCCTCAAAGTAGTGGAAACACCTCAGAGAACAATCCCAAGACTCTCAGCTCAGCACCAAGCGAACTTTTTACGGGAGTATTTGGCGGTCAAGGCCACCGGCTAGGTGGGCCGCAGGGTGGCGGCATAGGGGAGTACGGCATTGGGATGGTTAAAAAGCTTATCTACATGGCCAATTGTTTTAAGCAGGAAGCTCCGAGTATTGACGATGAGTTCGGAGCCGAAGGTGAGGGCTAAGCCTTTTCGGGAGTCAGGGTATTTCACCTCCTTGTTACAGATGTATGGCTTTCCTTAGATTGTATCCCTTTGAATTTATTCTGGCTCTCTTCCTCTTGCTATTACCTCAGGATGCCGGAGTAGTCATTCATTTCTCTCCGAAGCGGCACAAGATCGTATGAGACGGCAACTATCGCACAAAAGGTCCTTCTGTTGAGGTCTATCCGTTGCAGCAATTGGCCATTTGCCTTCGTGTAATTTTGCATCGATGCTGTCGCGAATTCCAGCTTTCAATTCGTGTATGGGCCCGCCTTTGCAAAACAAGAGGCAGATTGCTCCTCTGGTATGCCGGGGCACTGCGCCATCTTCAATTTTTGAACTGGTGGAACGAGCAGCGAAACCCTCACTTCTAGGCCGCCTCCGTTTTTTACAGAAAACTCCTCAAACATTTTGAAGAGTTACATTTGAGCAACGGCTAGCCGCAGGAGGACGTGAAGATAACACTTGATAAACAAAGAAGCAGAATGGCCTCACCGAGAGGAATGGTCCCCTTTTGTAGCCTGCTCGTAGATTTTCGCACTGTCGCTTTCTGTGGCAGTTCAACACGGCGTGACGACATTTCTGTATCTGTCCAGAGGTTTGCCACAGTTTACAATTATGTTCCTCTAAACTTTCTCAAGGTGTGTAGGATCCAGCAGCTCTGAACATGCAGCACACTAGTGAAAAAGCTGTCGTGAAAAAGCTGTAGTGAAAAAGCTGTCGGTAGCCAACAGCGTACTGTAGCGTTGTTGCCTTCCCCACAGTGCCGGAAGCCTGGACTAAAATATTATCCTTTCTTAGCTTTCAGTAGTAAATAACTTGATCTAAATATATGCAAAAGTGGGACACCCTTGACCTCTAACGTCAGGCAGTGCGGGGCAGCAGTTCCCAATCGTACAGAAGTGCCTCAAGCGCGAGTCCGGCAGGCACCTATACACGGGAGCGGCTACATATATATTAATTGAGATGTATACCAGCACCAGAAAGCCGAAACATTAATTCAATTTATATCCACCTGGGGAGAAGCACTAACAGGCGTATAGGGCCAAGAGGGCCAGATCAGAGCAGAGGCACCTGTGCTGCGATTGTGTGGAGGCGGAAGCACTGATGTTTCCATTGTCATTCAAATAACCAGAACAAAAGTGATATTAAAGGTCCAACACTTCAATCTAGGCGCTCTAGATCCACAGCGGGGTAGGGGACTGGCAACGGGTCTTCGAGTCTTACTGTTGCGGCGTCACATAGCAGTACGCGCAGCTTTGTAATTTATGAAACGAAACTTGTCTTAATCTCGTTAAAGCTGCCAAACCATTATCTTTTTCCTCTTTTCCCCGTATGATCGCGGGGTTTACGTGAGGAAGCAAAGCACATTGCAGAAGGAGAGGGGCCCCCGGGGGCCCCCTGTTGAATTGAAGGGCCTCATGGCCTCTTTGATTGCAGCAGCACTGGCGCTGAGGGCCGCTGCGGGCCGCACTGGTACTGGACCTCTTGCAGCAGCACACGGGCACTCCTCAGCGCAGCAGACAGAGAAGCAGCTGCCGCAGCAGCAGCAGCAGCCGCAACCACGGAAGCCACGGCTCCAACGCGGCGAACAAGAGCAAGAGGGACAGAGGAAAAGGAAACAGCAACGGCTCAATCAGCAGCAACAAGAAAAATCACAGCGGCAAGGCCAGCTGCAGAAGGAGCAACATCAACAAGGGCACCAGCAGCAACAACGTCACCAACAAAAGCAGCGGCAGGAACAGAAGTACCAACAGAAGCAGCAGCATCCGCAACAGCAGTCACTCCAGCAGGAGGCAGTCAATGCCGCTGCAGCACACGGATTGAAACGTTCCGCAGATTACAGCGACTGTGGAAAGCGGAAAAAACGCAAAGGACGAGGGGCGCCAAGGGCTGAAGCTGCTGTTTCCGGCACCCCAGCTGATGTGGAGCATGCACAGAATGTGCATGCAGTAGCGAGAGTGCAGCAACAGCAGCGGAATGGCCACATAGATCGTGACCAGCTCCAGGTTGCAGAGGAGCAACCCCTGGCGCAACAGCGTATTCCGCCGCTGGATCAACTGGCGCCACCGCGGCAGCAAGGACCATCACCATCTCCCCAACAGCAGCATAAGCCTGAGCTTGTGCAACATAAGCAACTTATACACCTGACGTCACTGCAGGCAGAGTCACAGGAGCAGCAGCAAGTAGTGAAGCAGCAATGCCTGCAGCAAGTGCTGCCACCGCACAAATTTCAAGCTGAAGGGCAGCAACTAAAGCAGCAGCAGGAGCATGGACACAATGATACGCTTCGACAGGCACAGGGCAGTGCACAGCGTCCAATTCCTAGGACCTTAGACCCCTCACGGGGACTGTGTATCGACCATCAGCAGCAGGTACAACAACAGCGAGAGCTACAACAGCAAGGACAGCAACAGAAGCAACAGCGGATAGAGCAGCAACAAGATTTCCAAGCGCAGCTGTGTAATCGTGGTCTCTTCACCCCGCAGCAAACGGAATCATTGCAGCAGGGTTTGCTGTTATTCCAGCAGGAAGCAGCAGCAGCACCTACGCCAGCAGCAGCAGCAGCAGCAAGAGGCAAAGCAACAGTACTGCTTCTGGGAGCATCAGCGAGGCGTTTAGCGGCTGTCGCACCGCGTCTAGCTGCTGCATTCTCGTGAGACTTTAGGTGTTGCATTAAGTCTTTGGAGCAACAACCGGTGTAGGAACTCCATCTGCCTGAAGTGATGGTATTGGGACGTCACTTTGTTTGTGTATTATGTCTGTTTCTTTAGGCGACGTGCAGCAGACGTTGCTCAGCATTACGGCATCGGTAACTCAGACAATATGCACTTCCGGTGTAGTCACGACCCTAGTGTTGCTTTTGAGCCCCTTTCCTCTAGCTAGCATTACCTGGCTTGCTTCTATATGTTTGTAAATGGAGATGTTCCCACTGCATTCCTATGAGCGCACCTGTTGTTGCTGCTGCCTCTGCTTCTTGCGTTTCTGCGGTGCAGAGGTTGATCCCAAGGCAAAACAGGGTCTATGTGCTGGCTGTGGCGTTCCTTTGGTGCCATTTCTGACATCATGCATATTTACGCGTCCCCTTCCCCGTGGGTCTTTTCGTCGCCGAAGTGAGCACGAGCTACAGGCAAATTACGTTGTTGTGCCTCTAGGGCTTATTCCGGGTATATTCCGGGGGTATTTACATTTCGAAGTTGATTGGAGTAATCTTTGAATTGGTCCCGAACAGCGGAGATGGCTTCACTTGGGGGAATGGGGATTAGCGGTATCAGCTACTGCTGCTGCTGCTTGTATGCGTCGCAGTGAATCAGTGCACAAAAGAGCATCTGATGCTACAGCTTCAGGCAACGGTTCCTGGGGGCCAAGTTCCTCCCTATGCTGTTGAGGCAGTCAGGCCTCTCGCCGTCTCCTCATCTATGGTAATAATTATTAGGTCCTGCTCCTAAGCATTATTGGGCGTCTTTGGGGACAAAGACGGGTCTACCAGTCCTAAAAGCTCCGCAGAGCATTCGAGGCCCTCAATGGTATGCGTGTTGTTGGTTGTGGCATGCCGTCAGGTGTCAGTGTGCAAACTGTGCGGCCACAAAGCCCAAACTCCCACTGGGCAGCTAAGACACAAGGGGAAGGCACAGCAGCAACAGCAGCAGTTGCAGCAGACCCTGCAGCAGCTGCCGCTGGACAGCGCGGCAAGAGGATCAAATTTCAACCAGCAGAAGAAGTCTCGAGAGAAGAGGAGATCTACTTCACGACTTTTTGATCAGCGTCAGCAGCGTCAGCAATACCAGCAGCATCAAACGATGCAGCAGCTGATACGTGGACAGTGCCTTGAGGAACAGCATCAGCTACTCGAAGACCAGGAGCTGCAACAGCAGCAGCAGCCGCAGCGAATAGAGCGTAACCAGTGCCAGCAACAGGAATAGATCAGCGAAGCTCCAGCATGCCAGTCAGCAGCAGCTACCGCAATCGCGAGAACGGCAAGCGCAGCCCTCGGCTCATCAGTTGACGCAGAAGCAGCTACCAGAGCAGCACCTGCCACAGGAGCAGCAACAAAAACAGCACTTGTCGGGCTAGCAGCAGCAGTGCAGACCGAGCGTGAGGCACGATGCTATTTTTAAGCCTGGTGCCTGTGAAGCGAGGTCGAATACACTGTCTGTTGTTGAATGTACCGCAATGCATTCCGCGAAATGGGAACCCAGAAGGATCGCCGTGGACGAAGGCAGTAGGGAAAACAAGGACTATTCCGGGAGCCCGTTGCCAGTTCCTCAGCCTTCGCAGTATTCAGCATTGTCAAGGACCCGCAGCTCACAAGATATTACTGAAGAAGAAGAAAAGGATGGCTTTTTGGTCTCTGCTAGCACCGTCAGTAAAGCCGGGGAGGGAGAGAGAGTTACGAGGGTCTATGAGCTACTTGCTGACCGTGATTTTTAACATGTCAGCTACTGCTCAAACTGTAAGTGCCTCATCTTTAATCTTTTCGTGACACTGAGTAGCTAACGCTCAATCCTCCATTAGTGCTGATTTGGAAAGGGCATACCACGCGAAGGACCAGAGGACCGGGTCGAATTTCCTAGGGGCGCAATGACACTTTGGTGACAGTGAAGATGATATTGAGTTGCCAGCGTTTTGGTAAGAGCGGAATTTAGTATAGACACAAAGTAATCCAGACGAGCGTGGGCCAATCACGGATAAACAAACTTGGCCACCAAGACTCACAGGCACACACCGCAGTTAACGAGCTGGTGCTCACAAATGAAGCTACCTTCACTCGCAGGAGAGCGAAATTTTTTAATTGAAGATTTACAATGCATGTCCTTTTGTGTCTCCGTTTTGTAGCTTGGGTGAGCAGTATAGCGGTGTCAAGTGGGGATATACTTACGACGTAGTAAGTCGCAGCTACCGGCAGCTACGGCAGCTACCGGCGTAAAGCTTCTTTGTGCTGCGTTAAAGCCAGTGCCTAGAAGGTTGAGAAGGGTGACGCTGAATTTTGATAGTTAAGGTCAGCCAGCCATGCACGGAGCGCTAACAGTCTTGAGTAGTTGCTCCATAGTGCTCCCCGCGGCGGGAAGGCCCTCCTCTTTAAATCCCCAAGGGGTATAAGCTGAAGTGTTTCACTGCCCAGAGCGACGTAACTGGAGAAACTGTTGAATCCGAGTCAGCTATGAAGTAGTTTGCTTATCAAGGCAGCTCGTGATGATCCGTGACGAAGACCAGGGCCGACGACTGCAGGCAGGCAGGCCATGGTCTCCCAGTGGGTAGTTCAGCTGTTTTGCTGAAGGGAACCGATACAAACTTTTGATTATTAGGTGGCGCTTCCTGCATAGAAATGCTGGTGGGCCTGACGACAACGCATTATATGTCGGCTTGAACTTGCTGCACTGAGTGCTACATTCTCCGTGCAACAACTTCGAGCGGACATGCGTGGGCTCGATCCACCAGTATACTTGATGAACATGTTCTGCTCAATTATTATCATTTCCTGTGAATAATTGCAGCAAAGGGCCGGTAACTTTGTTGGGAATGACGTGCCACATGGCTGCTGCGTGTATTGCCTTTCGTTTTAGATGTCAACACTGGATGACACCCGCCTGCACGCTATTCACGAACGGTAGATGCAAATAGCGTAACGCACGGAACGTCGAATTGTTTTTTCATTCCTCTGCCATTGGTTTTGGCATGTAACACCACATACGACGGAGTTCCGTTGCTAGAGTGCGGCGTATTAATTGCTGCTTAACTGCAAGAGCGTTATCAGTTATCACAGTCACCCGCCAGAACAATCCAGGCAGCTGGCACATTACTGGGAAGCAGAGAAAAGGACACACATTTTTGAAAGAAAAAAGGCTTCAGTCATAACATCCATCCGCTAGAACAATCCAGGCAGTTGCCATGGGTAATGTCGGCGACGGCTCGTGGGCGAGCGAGCGCCTAAGCGCTGCTGCAAGGGAAGATTCTCCACGAAATACAAAATTTTAATGTAATTTTAGCCTTAAATTTATTGTATTTTTCATTATGTGAACATGCAGCCTTTTGTGGGACTGGTTTCAGTCAAGATCAGCCCGAGTGGTTGTGCACCGCCAAAAAACTTGGGTACTGCCCGGAGATCCGTGCGGCGAGGAAGACGCCTGTAGCACAAGGTGTTGCTAGCTCCATTCAAACGTTAAAGAGGTCTTACTTTTCAAGTATTTTTCTCGTCGAAGCTTGATGCAAAGCGCTGCTTGTTTTGTGGGAGTCCAGACGAGACAGTCACGGAGGAGCAGTTCTACGGCGCCCGAAGTGCCGCAGGTGCCGTCGACTTGGGTGTGAAAATTAAAGTCTTCCCCTTGAGAGGACTCTCTTTCATCCGATTCGTACTAGTTATGAGAGTTTCATGGATGGAAGACCATAATAGCCCCTGCCAATATAGGTGGAGCGGGACAGAGCACAGCCTGCATCAGTGTTGAGAACAGGCCTTGAAACAGCTTCATTAACTGACTAACAAAGCGCCACTTAGTGTTAAAATTTTGATCCCAAAATGGCGATGCATGAATGTGAAGCTTATTGGCAGGATTTCCTGCGTAGACCGAATGAGCAACGCATGTTGCAAGAGGAGCAAAGGCAATTGCAAAGGGAAACAGTAAGTTCTGTTTCGCTGCCCAGGATCCCAGCAATCTGAGCAGGAAAAGGCGTTTGATTTGCAGTGGGATCCACAAATACTGTTGGTCGTGTATGCTGCATATTGTGTTGGAATCAGGCTTGTCGCATGGCAGCGGTAAAGAGTACCAAACTGGAGGAACTGGAAACTGCCTTAGCTGGGTGTACACCTGACCAGCAACGAATACTGCGGCCAATAATACAGTCTCCAGGCCTTTTGGAGCGTCTGCATGACTGCTTGCTCCGTTCAGACCACAATCCCAGCATATTTAGCAAAAGAATCGAAACAGACCAGTCGCTAGCAGCGCTAATTCTCGAGAAGGCAGAAGAATACGAGCGTCACCCTGAAGCTTGTACGTTTTCTAGGTACAGCTCGAAGCTGCCATGGATCACCACTTCTTTTTCCCTTCTTCAGAGAAACAAATGCACTGGAAAAAAGGGAATGACGTTTAAACATTCGGCTTGCTTTGCACTTTGATGCGTTTGCAGTCAAGCGGCAAGAGCAGCAACTCAAGGAAATACATGAGGAGGCTTCGAGGCCTCTAGATGCTGCTGACCTAGACTATCTCAAACAGCGCACTTGGAGGGATCTGCCTCAGGCAGAACTCGCTGAGCGCATGTCGAAGGGAGAGATCTGCCCAAGAGAAGAATGGATACCAGGTAGGGCCTTCCCTGCTATGCTTGAGATGAAAAGACTAACTATTTGCTGCCGTTCTCTTTGTCTCAAGTCGACATCCTGCAGTGGCCTCCAGGAAAAGGAAGGCCGGCAGAGCTACCAAACTGTCTCCGAATTATATTATGTGAAAATGCCGACATATGTGAGGTGCCACAGTGCACTTAAATAGGTTTCAGAGTTCCTCTATGTCCCAGGCATTTCTAAGGGCAAAAGGCCATTGGATGCCCCTGCCCTGGAAGAGCACCTGGCTTTCGGTGAGAGACTGGCGAGAGAAGGCCGAGAAGCCTACGCAGCGGGAGATTATGATAAGGCTTTCATGAGGTTCAAACAAGGGGTGGAGCTCGTGAACTGGGTTGAGGCCAAGGATGCAGTTAGCCAAAGACGCATTGATGATATGTACTCCCTCTTCTTGAAGAATTCTGCTCAAGCTGCGCTTCAACTCGGCAAGTACCAAGAAGCTATACGTAAGATAGTAGCATATATGCAACTCTCACTGCTGTTGCTTGTGCGTTTGTAGGTATTGCTGCTGCTGTTGCCTCTGTGAGTACAGCTTTTTGTGCAATGCAGTCGCAGTGTAGCCCGTAATACAGGTGCTACTACTAGTGCCGCCGCTTTTAGCCTCTTACGACGGGAAAGCAGCAGAAGGTGCCAAAATTACACCATTGTTTCTCAGCTTCATGCGTACTGCAGGCGCATGCACCACAATAATTCAGGAACTAGACGAACACGATTCGAAAGCTCGCTATCGTCGCGGTCGGGCCTACTTGTTATTAGGGATGACTAAGTGCGCAAAAGACGATTTCATGTTTATCCTAAAGAGCCCTTACTCAACCCAAGAAGGCGTCTGTGCTGCAAGGCTGGGGCTCCAGGAGCTGCGGCAGGTTTTGAATAAAAGCGAAACTGAGGCGAAATTGACAGTGTGCAGAGGCCTTGAAGGCTCACTTTTTTCCCGGGGCCGGCTGGCGGCTGCACACGTCAGGCAGCTGGGCGCTGCCGACGATCTGGACAAGTCTGATGACGACCAATTGCACTTTAGCCTCAATTACCCTGAAGACAAAACGGACTTCCATCTACCTCCGAGCAAGACCGCTGCAGAGGCGACGAACTCCTTCTGCAATAGCGCAGATGGACAAGACGTCGAAAGCATCTCCAGAGCTGCAACCTGTGATGAGGCAGAGACACAGGGCAAGCATACGGTGCGCTCGGCCCTTTAACATGAACATGCATGCTGGGGGAGTACACCGGATGATAACGTCGCAGTATTGAATGGCGTAGTGTCCTGTCACAGACACACAATTCTAATACGTAGTGTGCACACACGGAATAGCAAAAATGATTCAAGTGATAGCCAAAGCGTTGACTACAGCGTAGACATTTGTATTTGGATGCTCGATCCCCATATTGTTCACTTAAAGCCATCAAGTCTTTGACTTCAATACACGATTCCCTTCATTTTATTCCAGTTCTGTGGGAGTCCTGCGCATTTTGCCTTTTAAATTTCAGGAATATATGAAGAAAGGACAGACGCAGGAGCTTCCACCCCTTAGTCTGGAGAAGACCCGGAGCATCCTTTTAGACTTTCTAGATGCCTATACTGTGCGTCCATCATTGTTGTCTTTGTCCACTTTCATGCGCCGCTCTCAAGCGTAAAAGCGGCAGAAATATTTTCGAGCACCCCTTACTTCTCTTGCCATGTTGTCTCTTCCAGCCCTCCACAGCCCTATAATGAATATCTTTGTCTCATATACTGCACTCACTGAAGGAAAATCAAGGGTTCGTTTTTGTGCGACAGGCGTGTTGCTATGCATACACTTGCTTGCGTATACACTTGGACGGAAATTCGCGTCTCAAAACACCTGCATAGCCGCACCTTCGCTGACACGACAGTTGCACGCGACCTCCACACTCCACGAGACAACTTCTGTTCCTACGCTTTTTCTGCAGTCTGATCCGGTCGCAGCTGAGCTGAACGCGCTTCGAAGCCTGGCGGACTTCGACTACCGGCGGGTCGTCCTGAGAGCCCGCAAATATCTACCGCAGGTGCAGCAGCCCATTCTAGCTCGGCACGGCATAGTGGGGCATGACCACAGATCGAATATGAAGCTGGTTGAAAAAAGCGTTT